CACCCATGTACATGTCACATTATCTCAGGTGTGTAGCATTGATTCGTTCATTACTTATTGTTTTCCTGAAGTAAAATGTCTCAGGTTCTTTGCAGTTCTCTCCATTTCTCACCAAGAAATATGACTTGATTTTTTTAGCATCTTTGTTTTTTCTGCAGTATTCATTCTTCCACAGTAAGTCTCTGCTTCCTCCAATAGCCACCAATCTTGTCCTTAGGGTGTAATCTAAATTTCAGATTAAGGCAGCACAATGCAATTGCTTCATGCACATTTAAAGTCTCATTATGTAGGACTATATTTACTATTATTCACACGCAATTAGTATTATGAGTCAGAATCAATTCGAAGGCAATGGGTCTGGGGCTACACTGATTTTTTTTTTTCCTGACAATGTTTCCAAGAGTTTTCATGTGGAAAAGATTATTTTTTTTCTCCAAAATAGTAAACAAAAAATTATCACGTATTTTGGATGTTTCCACTAAACTGAGTTGTTGCGATATATTCTCTGCTATTTTATGTGGCTTCTTCTTAAATATACATATTTTTTTATTTGTACACTTCATAACTTGAAATTTTGTATATTTGTCATTTATATGTCAAGGTACGGGGTATTTTTTTGCTTGGTCCTTTATTTCTCGTCTCCTTGGATTAACTGAAGGGATTCATTTTTCCTCCGTGTGCCGTAGAATTGGGATTCTATCTGCCTTGTCAGATTAATATACCTAAAATTTTTGGTTTCATTTTGTTTCTGCATATTTTCATTCTGCATGGTTATATTATTAAGCGGTTGCATGTGTTCTCTGAGGCTAGTGAAACATGAAATAGAATGAGAAGGACGTATTTATGAAGGAATTGCATTAGAAGTACAGGAAAATTTGGAAAAAAATTGAATTTATTATGCTTTTTACAAATCGTTCACATGGTTAAAAGGACTCCAATAAAAATAAGACAAAATGTACAATATTTATTATATTTAATATGTTAATATATTTAAAACATTGTCTTATACATCTGCCAATCTTATATATATATATATATAAATTATAAAAATTTTGAACAACTATTAGCTAAGAACAAAGGTAATAAATTATGTTCTCCATGATAAAAGTTATATTATTAACAACAATCTCTAGAGATGTTTCCATACAAGTTCAATTAGAGGTCAACCTCACTAGGTCTATCAATTGTTCTCACTGCAGAGTTTATTTTCAATAATCAGCAGGAATAAGGAAGGCCAATTAAAATGAAAATATGTTGCAGGCTTACAGCAAACAGCATAGTAAAATCGCACACATAAAGCAGGCTGTCAACTTATGTTTTGTTTGTTCTCTCTTTTATGCTTGGAGAAAAAAAAAACAGCTCATTTTGCGGTATGAATAACATGAGTCTAAGAAGAAAAAGAAAATGCTTACATGTTTTCAAAAGAACCTTCTCTTCTTTAATTTAAGAGTTGAAATTAAACATGCTTATTTTATTCATTTAGCATACATTAAAGAATGCATAGCAAAAGGAGATTTAAGTGATTTGTAATTGTGTTTACAAATTGCAATATTTCCATTTTACCACGTGTTTTTGTTTTACTTTATTGAAAATATTTAATTGCCAAGGTCCCACTAATAACCACCATGCTAGTCTCCAATTTTTCTTTAAATTCTCAAGGTCATTTTCTTGTGCAAATTGAAATGTACAGTGAGTAATATTATTAGATAATCAAAGTCATGAAAACACTTTTATTCACCTTTCTAACGATTCTTTTGAAACTTATAATGCTGATTGCCACTTGGAATAAATTTATTATTGGTTCTAACCTAATGAGAAAAAAATGTCTAAAATCTGTATTTAACTCTAATGTATCTGATACATCCCTTCAACTTTCTTTGAAAAGTGATTTAATAATTAATCATACATCATATATTCTATATTATTTAATGGTCACATTCAATTAAAATTTACAATTCTATGCTCGTTACTCTGACAATCATATTTCTCTTAAGGAGTATTTTAAATGAACTTTCTATGCGTAGTTTTCTTATTTTTAGTCTTCTTCTCAAAATGTTTTTACATTAGTATTGAGATGAGAATGACTTTTGTGATAGAACTTGATTCTATTGCCCTAAGATATTCTAACATTAGGTGCTTCCATAGCAACTCCTGCGAAGCATTTCAGGATACTTCCTACGGGCAGTCATTTGAGAATACACATGGGCAGTCCCTGTGTGAAATTTAGTTATGAAAATCCTTCAGAGAGAAATAAATTTTTAAAGCCATGTGTCACTTTATACGGAGCCCTGGTGGCACAGTGGTTAAGAGCTCAGCTGTTAACAAAAGAGTCAGCAGTTCGAATCCACCAGCCTTTCCTTGGAAACCCTGTGAGGCAGTTCTACTCTGTCCTATATGGTTTCTGTGAGTCAGAATCGACTTGACGGCGACGGGTTTGGTTTTTGGTTTGGGTGACTTTATATATCCAAATATTCTTGCATTTCCGAATGCCAGGGAATTATGTCTCTGCCACCATTGCTTGGGGAGTTCTTTAGCCCTTGTCATATCTGGAGATTCTCTCACTTTTAAGATCTGAAATATGAAGTCCCATTTTCTGACCATAGAAACCTCTTATCATTTCTCATATTTATTGACTCCGAATGAACTGAATCCTTAATTTGTCATCAGTTGCAATTCTTTGACCCTGTCCTGTTTTTCCAGTCTGATAGTGTAGTTCTAGCTCTCCACTCAATCAGGAAAATAATGGTGAGCCATTTGAGAGGCGTCATTTCTCGCTACTTGAGAACACTGCATCCTTTTGACTGTCTGCCATACCTGCCCAGAAGATCCTCAGTTATGAGTCTCTCTTGGGGTAAATTCTGCCTGTTTCTGTTCCTAGGTGAGTATAACATTTCAAAACCACACTAATTAGAACCACTAACTGGCTCTAAATTTAATACCTAAATCAGAGAACTGTAGCAGAAAAACCACGGTATGTGATCACCATAACAAAATAGGCATGTTTGCTCATCAGAATAAGTCTTCAGCGTTGCTTGAAAATTTTCATTTTTACTTATTTAGCTTTAGTTGGCTCTTTACTATACATTTCTGATGTCAGCTAAAAGGTTCTTCACTTGCCTCAAGAAGGTAATTCCTTTACCTCATACCAATTTTAATTCAACCTGTATCCATTTCTTTCTCCCTTCCTGAGAAGACTGAGACCTCCAAGTTAAACTTCCTGAATTTCTCCTCTTCACCAACTCAAAATATTTCATCCTCTTGGTGGCCACTTTGTTCTTCTCTGGTTTAAAAGAAAAAAAGTCCTTCAATTCTTACACAAAATCTTTTTTATTATTGCTTTCTCCAGAATTTTTTTCAGCAATCATCTTTTATTGGTAGTTTTATCATATTATAGTACCTCTTTGGCTTCCTTTTAGGGTGAGGCAGCAGGTGGGTAGAGGGCAAGATCATCACATTCTTTTTACCTTCCTTTTAGACTTGTCATAGCTGCCACGAATGTTTAAAGTAGCTCTTCCTACTCCACAGACCTAGTCATTATCCTGAGTTTCACCTTGGTCTTGTATACATCTTTCCACACTGGACTTGCTGCCACACAGCAAATTCAAGTACACCTTAAGTAACTGCCATGCCCCTCCCATTTTCTATGAGTATGGCTGTATGTCTGAATTTTGCAATGACATTTCCAAATTGGAAAGTCCAAAGCTGAACTTATTTTTGCATTTAGCCTCCAAATTTCACAATTTCTGTTTTAAAAATCACCTCATTTCCTTATTTACGATAGTTGTGGCTATATATGGCCAGTCAAGGACACTGAAGCCTTGGATAGTCTTAAATGCCTTCCTTTCAGCCTCTAGATAAAATTTCACTCTGTTGTACGTAGGGTCGCTATGAGTCGGACTGACTGGATGGCACCTACCAACAACAGCAAGATAAAATTAACCATCGAATCTGTATGCTGTTCTTCCACCCTACATGTCTCACTTATTTCCAAGTTGTTTTTTATTCTTACGGATACTCTGCAGGTTCCTACAGGATAATTCTGCCTGATAAAACCTTCTTAAAGCTTAACTACCATCATTTTCAATCAATGAGCTATTCAAGAATTTTTATGCCTCTTCTCTTGGAGTCTGAATTAAGTACAGACTCCTTCACTTGGAGTTAATAACTCTGCTTTCTCTGACTCCAAAATATATTCCCAGTTATTCCAATATAGGAACCCCAACCTCAGCCAGACTAAATGGCATGGTATTTCCTAAAGGTTACCAGCATGTTCTTTTTGTTTTACCCTCCATGAACCTCACGTGTTGAAACACCACCTATATTATTAAGGCTTTTATCCTATCCCATCTCTACCATGAGAAATGGTTTACTCTCTTACCAGATGTGAAATCTTTAATTCACAATAACACTGTTATTACTTTTTATTTATTTTATTCGTGTGCTTCCTATACCCTTCTCCTAGATTGTCTTTTTTCTTTTTTTATGCATACGAGATGTGTTTTACTCATAATTTGAATACTAGAGCATCATATTTATTTACACCGGTCGATCGTTATTTATTTACTGAATTTTTTGTACAAAAGCGACTTTGAATGGTATAGGCATATTTATATAACCATAAGGTAAAAATGTTACTAGGTCTCTCTGCAACAGAGTTTTTCCCATACTCAGGTAGCAAGTATCATTAACCCTAAACGATACTGAAACTGACTGATGCGTGAGGAAATGAAGGAATTTATTCCTGGAGAAATCCTGGTCTCTGATGGAGCTGGGAGGAGACAGCAGGTCCCTTCTAACCCTCTTTTCCTGTCCGTTTTAAACAGAGTCCTCTCTATGCACAAAACTGCTACAATCATTCATTAAGTAGACTCGATCCCTCATTTTCCTTATGTCACCAATAATTTGAGCTAACTGTTTTCTCACCTTAGGCCGAAGAAAATTATGGCCAGATATTCATCCTCTAAATAACCTAAAAGTGAATTATATTTCATTGCTTATAGGATGGTATGGGAAATCTGAGAGTCACCGAGAAGGGCATCCGACTTGAAGGTATATCTGAGTTTCTACTTCCATTGTATGTGAAAGAAATTCATTCCCGAAAGGTATGTGATACTGGCTTTGGCTTACTGTAAAAGATAATATAGAGGTCATGTTTTAGCTTGAAATAGGAGACTAGAATCCCCTTATCTCCTGAGTACGTATTTAGTTTCCTGAGGCTAAAGATCTATTTGAAAAAATCAAAACAGTGAAACAACTGAAGAACTAGTGAAGAAGGTTAGCTTCAAATAGACCAATAAAAGAATTATTTTGAGTTAAACTGCAGAGCTTTTTCTTTCTCTCTTTCTTTCTTTTTTGGTTGTCTATAAATGTTGCCCCTCCTATTTTCACTGACAGTTAAAAATACACACAGCAATTCCAAAGGGGCATTTGATGCATCTTGAGTAATTTTTGCAAGATGCATTGAACTAAATAAATGATTTTCATCCAACATACTATACATCTGTTCAACTTTAATGGACATGCATTATCTACACAAGATGCCAAAGCATTTTAATTTAGAAATTAAATTTCTTTCTGGCTATATTTTATTCAAAACAAACCAGAATATTTATTCTTCAAATGTGTGTGCATGTGCTCCCTGTGTTTTATCACTTAACAGCATGTTAAAAATTATTATAGCTTGGAATACTATACCAGTCATTGTTCATTTTAGCTTAAGTGTGTTACTTCTTCGGAGGTAGTAACTATTCCTGGGTACATCAGAATCTTAATACAGGCTTTCAAATCCATGAAGTATCCTCCTGGGATATGTGCATATGTGTAGAAATAAATTTACTGAGACAGAAATAATGAAAAGCTTATTATTCTATAAAATATGAAAAATATTCAGCTTTATTTCATAAATATGGATATCTACCTTAGACTAAAATAATGCTTTTAGTATTGCCAATACATTAGCAAATGTTTGCATAGTAAGTCACAATTAGAATAATTTTTTTTCAAAATGATTTTTTTCACCTTAAATATAAAAATGAAAACAGAACAGAGGACTTTTTTTCTGAAAACTTTTAATTGGAATAATTATACTAATTTTAAATTTTATTTTTTAATGTTTGAAATGGCAGAGCCTCTTTAATATACTCTATTGGCTGCTACCCTGGGTCCTGAATATTTTACATTCAGACTACTTCACTTCTTTGATTTTGGTTAGACAAGTAACACAACAGACGTGCTTGAGCATCTGGCTTTCTTACATAATTAAACTTAAGAAATGATTAAACTTAAATGGTTTGCCCAATTGTTTTCTTCTTTTTTTTTTTTGTAATGAAATTTGAAAAAAATAACATGCTTACACATATTTGTGTCTCTCCTGTTATTGGACGTCGCCACCACCCATAGTTATTTACTGAACTCTTCATAGCTTCACACTATAAAACAATTTAACATTTGAAGAAATGGAAACTGATACACAGAAATTAGAAAATCGTTTAACATAGGAACAAGGTCAGACTAAATCATAGGCAGGAAACTCATTGACAACGCCTCCTATTGATAAGTTCAAGGACAGCAAGCGTGATTTATATTCAGAGTCATTTAGACCAATTTGCAGTGGCCATTTGGGAACAAAACTTAGAGAAGGATTGAGAAGTCACGTGTCAGCAGACACATCAAGAATTCATCTTCCCAGCTGGGTCATTTTGGGGAGTGTAAAAACAAATGTGAACTACTATCCTCCTGGGAAACTGGGATTGCATGTTTTCTCCATCTATGGACCGAGTTAGGAAGAGTCCGTTGATTTTACAGCATTAAAGTGTAAGCTGGTGGCAGTTGGGTTTCCTGACATTTATCCCTGGAAAAGTTTACCTCAAGTTCACAAGCATTTCCAGAATCTACTGTATTGATTGGAATCTGTATCCCCCTTTCACATCCCCAGTCCTGTCACTTGTCCTTTTCACATCTGCTCTCAATATTGTATGCCACCCTGTACCTAGGAAACCCAACAAAACATAGGCAAGTGGGTCATGTTCTATCTGCAGTCAGACAGGAAGTGTGGTTTGAGAAAATAAATAGAAGAAGGCTCATTTACTCCTTGGGCAATTTCTCTACACACCACAAAAATAAATATTTGAAATAAAAGAGAAATATATATATATATTATTAGCAGTTCCCACATTAGGAATGTGTGCCGTTGTTTATTCTCTGCCATGAAGTCTACCCACTGTTTCAAAAAGCCAGCCACACTTTCCTTGAGCCTTAGTTTACTCATTAATAAAGTGAATTGGACAGAAACTTATCAAAATCCTTAATTCTTAAGATTAAGAGAATACAAAAATTTTAGTAAAATAAACATTAGTAGAAGTGAATTTTTTATTTTTAAAATAATGTTGTTGTGCATTTAATTCTTTCCACACATTTTCATACATTTAAGTGCTTTTTTCATAATAAAATTCTGAAGTCCCTATAGTTCCAAGGTAAGGGAAGCTACATTAAATTCAAAAGGTACTCATGAAGTTTCAATTAAGCTGAGAAAAATAATAACAGTTTACAAACAATTTTATATTTGTTTATATTTTTATTTTTTTCTGCTTTAAAACCAGTGGGTTGCCGTCTTTATATTTAGCTAGTATTCTACATTGAAATAAATAATATTCTTATTTAAAGTAATTTTCTCATTATGTAGATATTTAATACTACACAGGGGGAGGTAACACAGAGATATCTATTGGGCAAAACATGCCCATGGCCACACAAGCCTAGTCACCTAACTCAAATGACCTGCATATACAATGGGCTGGATATGCTTGGCAAGCTAAGCAAAGCACTGTTCTCCCTCCTCCAGGAGACGCTGGGAGTGCAAACAGATAATATGTTTGGCTGGGAACTGAAAGTGTTGCAACTGCCCAGCTACACCTCCCAAAAAGATCTGGTGATCTATTTCTGAAAAATCAGCTGTTGATAACCCTATGGAGTACAGTTCTACTCTGACACACGTGGAGTCCCCGTGAGTCAGAACTGACTGAACTACAACTGGTTTTCCCCGTCCTGCAAGAATTCTGTATAACCAGATGAGGTGGTTGCTGAAACGATTTCAGTAATAATGGCGTTAGATTAATATAATGATTTAATTTTAAGCAGATATTTGAAATGAACATAGCAATACTGCAGGTGAATATACTCAGTATTAGGTATTTGATACATGGGAGATGTTGACATGAAGTAAATGAGTGAAAAACAATTATGCGCTTGTGTACAGCAGACCAGTGAACTTAACCGATTTTTCGCTAAAGATGCTTATACTAAGATATGCAGTACGTATAAAAGGATTCAGTATATAGATATTTAAAACTAAAACCCATTGCCGTCAAGTTGATTCTGACTCAGTGACCCTATAGGACAAAGCAGAACTGCCCCATAGGGTTTCCAAGGCTGTAAATTTTTATGGAAGAAGACTGCCACATCTTTCTCCTGCAGAGTGGCTGGTGGGTCTGAGTGGCTGGCCTTTCAGTTCGCAGTCGAGTGCTTAACCACTGCACCACAAGGGCTGCTAACTGAATGGACTCAACGGCAGTGGGTTTGATTTTGGCATTATTATCCATAGCAACTTGCTTTATTCTTCATGCTTTTCAAAAAAAAAAATTTTTTTTTTTTTCCTAAATGGTCCATCAAAACAGTACATAGAAAAAAATTATTCTATCCTGGAAATATTTTTAGAATTCAATGCATCTTTTAAAACGCACATTTTCTTCAGGAATAATTAGTCACTTAGCATTTATTAGGTTAAATGGATAGTTTTCTTCAGAAAGGAGTAACACTAAGGATGTGGGATTTGGGATGACCTTACATAAACGATAGTTTATTCTGAAACAGTCTTTAAGGCATATAGTTGACATGAGGACAAAGTCTTTGAAATACCAGGAAACTAGGACGTGTAATCTCGAGGCTTTTTTTTTTAAACATAATTGGAGTATGTTTTCAAGGTTCCATGGGTTCAGGGTACTAATGTGGTTAAATTACTTACATTTCATCAGACAGTTCTCCAGAACCACTTCAAGTATCATCACTCAACTTCATCTGAGACTAGTGGAACAGCCTTGTTTCTCTCTGCCTCTCCCCCCACCCTTGTTTCGGGACCATTAGTTACCATCACTACTTCCATCTATTGCAGTGCCCCCCACTGATTATGTGCCAGGGGAACTACTACTAAATAATTCCAGTTCCACTAACTGCACAGCAAAGCAAAGCAGTCTTGAGTTCTTAGGACTCATATATTAGCAGAAATGTTTCTGAGCCCCCACCCCTCTGTCTTCTTCAGTCATTTCATTGGCTTTACAGCTGTGATATTAACTCAGTTCTTGTTTACTAACAGTTGTTCAGCTCTTATTCTCAATGTTCAGAAAAAAACCCTGTTAACAATTGGTGAACATCATCTTAGATAAATAATTATACATCTGCACATAGAAAAGGATAAATAAGAAGACATAGACAAGGTATTCATAATTATGTATTATACATATTTTAATAGAAAGAAAAAATAATCTGAGATAAAATTGAAGGAATTGCTGAAGTTAAATATTTCTTCAGCACGAGAATGTTTTTTTTCTCTGTGATTAGGGAAAAAAAAAAGATTACGATTACCATTAAGAGTCCGGATGCATTAACTTCATGTTTTAATTTCACACGTGTTCCTTAACTACCTACAGTGCAGTTTGAGGTGATTAGATCTTCTCCAGTTTGTCCTCTCCCCTCTCCATTTTCAGTGTTTTGGTAATTATATATTTTTAACTTGGTCAGAGTTCGTAATATTTACATGCTATCCTGCAAATGTAATTGACACAGGACTTTGGTCTTACTTCCCCACATAGATGACTGAAGTGCTCATCACCCGTCTTATTTATTATGTATTCTCCATTCCTGAGTTCATTTTTCAAAATCATTCCTTGCTTACTTGTATTTCATTGTTAATTAATTATTGTTGTTGTGATTTTTTTTTTAATCCTCTAAATACTTCGTGCTTAAGTGCCTACCTATTGCCTTTATGCTTTTCTGGGATAATCCGGATTATTTACCCTTTCTTTTCCTCAGAGCTATGAACTTACTGCTT